ATTGGGCAGTTTATAGGGTTATTGTCTAACTCTTTATCTTGAGTGAACTGTCCTCTTACCGAGTTTCAAGATTTTTTTTTCCACTAATTGTAATCAAGACTTTCCAGTTTAATGAAAATTACAAGTATGTTTACGATAAACAAAATCCCAAAAGATTCTGAAAAAAAAAAATCACCTTCCTTCAAAGGATAAAAGTAATTAAAGTCCCTATATAATCATATCTGGCCACAGCCAACAAGTTGACCAGCACAAAATAAAAGTAGGGTACCCCACAGAACTGTTATAAGAGAGGGCGCATAAATATCTTTTTCACGAGTTTGAGTTACAAAAATAATATATGTACATGGAACGATAAAATTAAATATATTTGATCATTTCAAGTAATTAAATTGTCCTGTTGTAATTTGGACGTCATCCAGGCCGCCTAAGAATACTTGAGGCCTTAGACAAAAATTTTAGATAAAATCCTAAATTATTTTTAGATGAACAATTTAGTTGTTTTTTTAAATTTTAAATATTTAAATTCATATATTTTAGTAGGTATATTTAAGGTTGAAAATAACTTATAAAATAAATACATTATGCGAATGATTATATTAAGATTAAAATTATTTTAAAATTATAGTTCAAGAAAATTAAACTGAATAAATTGACTAAACTTATTGAGAGTTCAAATAAAATCAAAGAGTAGAATCTTGTATTCTTTATACAAGAATATAATACGATTATTTTTTTTTTTAATGCACATATATTTATGATTTAATTTTTTTAAAATTATTGTTTAAATTAACGTCTTACTTTTTTTTTTATTCAATTATATTATTTTAAGATACATATGCCAGTGGGGCCCACGACAAGTGGGGGGCCTAAGCGACTGCCTCACAGGGCGTCATGGATTCAATGTATATATGATTCATCTGATATTTACTGTATTGCTATCATGCAAATGACTGCACACAAACTCCCAACGTTGTACAAGTTAGGCGTAAGCGCACATTGCAAGAGCAGCCAACGTGTTGAAATGAATCTAAAAGCTTTAGGAATTTGTATCAGAAAGTCTTTTTGAAGAGGAGATTGAAACGTGATCGTAACGAATACTACGATTAATTCTTCATATTGAAACGTGATTGTAACGAATACTACAATCAATTTTTATACGACTTGTCAACTCGTATAAGACTATTCTACATAAATGTAATTTTAATGGCTTTGAATTATAAACGAGTAGATTGACCAAATTAAATACTAATTAAATTATACATGACACGAATTTGAAATAAAACACAATTTAATAATTTGTAATAGAAATTTTTTCAAAGAGGAGACTGAAATGTGGTTCTACCGAATATTATGATTAATTCTTAATACGACTCGCCAACTCGTATAAGATTATGGAACATACCAGTGTAGATTTGATACAACAGTTCTAAATTGTAACCCAGTTGAGCGGCCAAATCGAACACTAACTGAATTATACCCGCCACTAATGTGACAGAATATGATCCATCTATAACACAATTATTAGCATTTACTATTAATCGATTGAGTACGAATTGAACAAATTTTAGGGTGTAAGACATAAGCAAAATACGAAGCGGGTATGATATAACTTTTTACCTGTCATACTTGTGATTGGTAGCTAAGCTAAGAATGGTTTCAAAGTAAATTTATGATTGTGTTTTGAGAATTCAGGAGTCGAATTATGAATTATGTCAACATAGCTACATGAGCTTGCTGGAAAAATAATGCACACCACAGATTGATAGTTGAACAATATGGTGGTTGAAACTGGGTGGATTATGGAATCGTAATTAGTGGTTCTAAGACGAGAGCTTTCATATTTTGGGTAAAGTAATTCGGATCATAAGAATAGTATAATACATAGTTGAAAGTCTGATGATCTATATTACCTATCTAACGCATCGTTAGAAGAGATCGTAGATCGGAAATCGCATTCTAAACCACCACACTCTTCTAGATGGAGGAGAAGTTCCTCAATTTGAGAAAGAGATTGGATAATAATATATGTCGCAATTGAATAAACCGCTTTATTCGTAAGTTCGAAAATGAGAGCGAAGCAATGAATAAAAAGGGAAATATATACATTTTCCACAAGTATAAGGGCGTAACTTTGTTGACTCTAGTCCTCCAACCTCGTCAAAGGGCTCCATCACCAAATAGATCAAAACTCAGTAGCCTTTGAGTGCTATTTTTTACCATAAGTGAATTATAATATATTAGGTCTGATTAGAGCTAGTTTAAATAAATAATTTTTAAGGTTTTGAAATAAAATAAGTCAAGTCTATTTAAATCTTGATTTTTTTTACCAACTTATGCAGCAGTTATTTGAATTTAAAAAAAATTATTTTTGTTGATTTAAGAAGTTGATTTTTTAAATTTTTCTTTCAATTTTTTGGAGTTTTGTTGCGGATCCTATATAACTTTTTAGTTTATTATATTCATAAAATAGTATTAGTGACATAAAAAAATATAAATTTCATATTTTAAAATTTATTATATATAATCTATACATATATATATATAATTTTTTATTTTGGCACAAAAAAGCTCAAAAGTGACTCAAAACAGATTTTTCCAACATTTTTAGTTTTTTAAAAAACACTTCAAACGGTTTTGAGTAACTTTTTTAACTCTGATTTTTTAAGAAACTTTTCACTTAAAAAAATCAGCTTCAAACATACCCATTATTTAATTAGGGTTCACGATCTTTTAAGTCAAGGCGCTCAAATTAATCTTCCTAACTTTGATCAACCAGATTAGCTCTGTCCTACCTAGTTTCAACTGATTTTTTTTTTTTCAATAATCTATTTGTTTGGCAGGATAAAAAAAGAAAAGAAAAATAGAACAGAAAACATGAATTGGGGTGAGAGAGGCTCGAACTCTCGACCTCAGGATAACTCAGAAGCTATGAGACCTACGCGCTAGCCAACTGCGCCACCACCCCGTTGTGGTCAAAGTTAGTTTAAGTTATATACAAATAATAATTTTCTAGAGTTTAAGGGCAAATACGGACACGTGGCTGTCACGGATAGCAAGTCAATGCAATAGGGTACACTGAGCCTGAGGTGTTCCAAGTAACGTCTGAACAACGTTGTTGGTCAAAGAATTGGACAGTTTCATTTCACCGACAGGGAAAGAGTTGTGCTTTGGGGTTCTTAATGAGATCTTATGTCCTCTTCGTAATTTCCGACAATTTTGCTCTTTGCCCTTCTTTGTCTCTCACCCGCCCACCACCAAAAACACCCACCTTAACTCTCTTTCCTGTTTTCTTACTCAGCATGCTTAGGGTTTGTTACATCTATCTGCATTTACACCTTTGAATTCACAATCCTTCTCCAGAAGGTACCCTCTTTTTTTCTTTTCCTTGATTCAGGTTTTCTTTTTCAGATACGATTTTGTTTCTTATTCTCAACATTGTCATGTATTTAAGGATTGTATACCTTCGGTTTCTTAATCATTCTATTGCATTCTATGTTATGTCTCTCATAATCTAATTATTTGTCTGGATTAGATGCTAAAGATTGTTTTTTTTAATCTATGTTGTACTTGAAAAGAAGGCTTATTTCATAATTGAGTTCTCTTTGTGTTTCTTATAACGGATTGCCATATCAAGAGAGGGCTCTTCAGTTTGATATATGTGATTATGAAATAACAAGTTCTGGATTGACTTTGGGCAATTTCTTAAAAAGGGTATCTCTGCTAAGTTGCATTGCTTAATTTAGTTAAATACTTTCTTTGAACTTGTGATGACATTCAATAATTGAAGCCTGAAATGTTTGCTTACTTTTCCAAGTTAATGTGATTTCGTTATGATTAACAATTGATCTATCAAACATTAAATTCCAAATGTTAGCTGTTCTCTGAGGTACTTGTCTTTGGCATCCTACACTGGGAAGCTAATATTTAGGTGCTCATGTCCGTTATGGATTTAAGAAACGTGGACAGCGTGTTATACTAACGAAGGTTGAATGTTTTGATCACTTGAGATGCTGTTGACCATGTGTCCTCTAGAACTCTCTGTCCTTTATGTAGTAGTTATTTTTGTAGCGGTGGCGGATAGCATGAAGCCAGTTTTTCACTTTTTCTTTCAATTCCCGCCAAAACTTCCTTATATGTTTCAATCCCAACTCACAACACAAAATGAAAGATTACAAGAAATGGATCTAACCCATCAAGTATCGGGTCAGGTTTATGTTGCACAACAGCTTGAACCTAACCCGACAAAAATGGAAGAAAAAAAAATGATGATAATAAATGGCTTCAAGATGACATCATCGTCCATCTTTCCTATTTTTTGACAAACAACTAGCATTCTTAATCATTCGCAATACATTAGTGAAAATTCTGGTCTGTTTCTGAAATTTTTCATGGTTACAGTGTGCGCATTCTCTCTTTCTGGCGTTTGATTTTTTTTGCTCATGAATAGCCCAAGTTCTACTTCACGCCTCAATTACATTCATTTCCAGGAATCATCTATTTGATTTTGGGCTGTGAAACTGGTTGCTCTAAGCTCGCTCGTAAAAATGATGATGCATAATTGTGATGTGTTTTCCTTTTATCTTTTATCGAGGGCTGATTCTGTGGATCTTCTGTTATTCAGTTAGTTCCTCCATACAGGCAGTTCATACAAGATAGAGCAAATGATCAATTTATCATATCTCAGGGCATTGAAATTTTTACTATTGCCCTCATATTTATTGTGTGTGGCCTTTAATCTTGTGGGTTGCGTTTATTGAAAGTTGGCCTCATAAGTTAACAAAAATGATTATTATAATGGTAGATGCAATGCGTTTTGTCTTTTTAATGCTCGAATTTATACTTTTAGAATTTAATCATTGAGTTATTTCTCATTTTACCCATGCATTAGATGATTGTTGCCAGCTATTGAAGCATGGTGTTTCTTTTGTATAGCTTTACTTTTTTCCAAAGCTTTCCCTCTATGTGGTTTTACCTTATTATATATTGTATGGTAAGATGAGATGGCAGCTGTTGTGAGGCTTCAAATCTTTGTTTCTGATTTTATGGTCAGGGAGATTTAGTTTTTATTCTATATGGTAGGAGATTTTCTACCAGCTCTTGATGGATCTTCTTTTTGAATTATGTTTATAGTATGTGGATGTTCTAGACTGTGTTTGTGCTGCTCACAGCTGTATTTCTAATGCTTATTGATTGGGCATTGCTTCATTACGACTATTTGGGAATTTGTGCTGAAACTGCCAATAGGTAGGCCAACCTCAGGAGATCTCATTGACTTGTTGAAATTAGCAATGGTATTGGGGTGCAATTGATTGTGTGGTGCAGTTGCTTTGAAACATCACTCTGATGTTTACTGACAATGTAATGTGTAACCACCCGGCTTTATTTGCAAATGAATGTTTAAGGTTGCATATTACAAAAATGTTTTTTGGTAGCATTTTTGCAGGCACACAAGTAGACTGGCACATGAGCATGCCATTTCCTTAGTTTGATTCTAGATAAGGACTTGACGAATGAATTTTTGATACAGAATGTATTTTAAGTACTGGGGGGTAGGATATCTTCGAGTTCGTATCGTACTTGGACAGTTACAATGTTGCAGATTTAATGCTCCATACTTCTCCGTGTGACTGCCATGGGGTGAGCTCGGAGAAGTTTAAGGTTTTTTATCCCATTTTTTTGTGAGTTTGTCTGAGTATCCAGGAATAATTTGGTATAAAGTGTCTCTAACATATACCTGCTGTGCCACATGACAAGAGAAAAGAGTGCCACATAGCTAGCATTTGATTAAATTGTTATCAGGAGTTAAGACTCACACCATGAGTAAGGTGTGCTGAAAGTTCCAAGGTTCCCATAATGATGTTGTAGTCTTCGTAAGAATGCCTATCTGCGAGCCAAGTTCTAGATTCTTGCTTTCTTTGGTGAACATCCCGTCTTCATTTTCTAGCAAAGGGCCAAGAGGTGCAGTTGTCCTAAGGTCATGTCTGAGGTTCTTGGCAAGGCAAATGTCTGAAAGGCTTATTTGGGGCTGTCGACTGGCACCCTTTTAGGAATGAAGGTGGCAGAAAAAGTTGGGGTGTGAGGTGGTGGGGTTTCCCTTGTAGGATGGCTTGTCTTACCTGTGAGAGGTCCTCCATCAGTGTAAATATTTACATTCTTATTAAGCTTCTCACCGTTTTGCACCTCATTTAAAAAGCTGCAGAATTGGGCTGTATACCAATACGAAGACATGTAGAAACCCATATAAAGTTTACAGAATGCTTTTTTGGACACATTGAAAGTCAAAATTGTTCTCTCACTTTCGAAAGGAAGTTGTACATACTATTGCTTACACTCTCAGATATTACCTTGACTCCACGATAGGAACCATTTGCAGGTCAATGTATGCCCAGTGGAGTGAGGTTTATTTCTTCTCAAGCAGTTGGTGGACACATTGGACAGATGACCTTGACATCAACAGGTTTTGCATGGAATGAATAGCTCATTTTTAGTGGTAACAAACTCAAACTTTATATCAACTCAATAATCTGATTCGAATTTTCATTTTAAAACTCTTATGATAGTAAGTTATCTATTCAGATCCTTTGGCCGCTGTTTGAAAAATGGAAAATGGACCAAATATTAATGCTTCTACAGTGGATAGTTCTGTAATGAATTCTCTCGGTCAAAGAAAACAAGCTGGGAGCATTCATGACATTATGAATCGACGTCTCAAGAATCGAGAACGGCAACGTAGATACAGGGCTAGAAAGCGCCGTGAAGCTGATATAAAGAAGGCAGGTATTGGTTCACAATCAACTCCATTGCAAGTGGAAATACAGGTGAATAGCACTTCTCATGATGGCGTGACGCGAATTCATTGTCAAAGAGATTGGAAAAAAGATGCCAGAAGGGCCCATGTTGTCCATGAACAAGAAATCAAGTCCAGTGACCCTGCAAGTCTTGAACCAACATCAGTTAGTGGAAGTGAAGCACCCTTCTTGCCATCCAGATTTGGGGCAGACCCTCCATCAAGTAGTGAAACACCTAGGACTACACTCAGCAAAAGACATTGGAAGGCGGAAGCGAGAAATAAAAAAAGCTAAAGAAGGTATTGTTGAGTTGCTTACTGGTGTGGAAGTTAATGTCCTACTGCTTAATTTCCAGTTAACACAACTATTTCAGTAGGAATACATCTGAAGATGTGTGGTGAATCATTTTACTTTTGGGTTTGTCAGCAATGGTTCTTATTTTTAATTTTGGTATAGAATTTTCGATTTTGTAAATGCAGACACTTCAAAAAATCAATCGACAAACCCCCTTGTTAGCAGTTTGGTTGTGCATTTTCTATCAAGAGGCTGGGTAGCATTTGAAGACAATTCAATGCTTATAGCTTGAAATCTCAGGCCTAAATTACAGTTGATAGTGTCTATGTTACTGCAGGAATGCACACATCAAGTATGTTAATCTATTGGCCTTTTTTAAAAGACAAAAATCATTTTGACGTGTCTTTTATACCCATGACTGCAATGCAATCACCTGCTAACTATATGAATAGGCTAAATAAGAATTGTCTGTGACCAGTGAGACTTTTTTTTTAACTATTGGAAAAGAGGAGAGGGGCGACCAGTAGGTAGTAATCCACCCTGGGTGTGACCACGAGAGTCCCTCCTACCGTGAAATGTCTAGTTGAGTTATTTTTACTAATCCGAAAGAATAGTCTGTCACTATAGTACCACCAAAGTCAAGCATTAAATTGGATTGTTCCCGTGAATTGAACTCTACTTGATAATTATATGAGAGTTAATAACAATCTTAAACGAGTACGATTTATCACTAGACCACCAACTTGAGTGATAACCGGTGGGACTTGAATCTTGTATTTTTTCTTTGCTTAGTGCTCTACACCAGGAATAAGGCAACTCTGATGGCTGTTGCAGTTTGAAGCGCTCCAGTTAAAATTCAGATTGAATTGAACACAAACTAAAAGTATCATATTTTGGGTAGAGCCAGGCTCTTGACCCGTTCAACCTACCAACTTACACACCTATAAATCAATCACGATATGTTGAACGACAAGATTTTATGAAATTTCTACGTTGAGATCCTAAGATCGAGTCTTGTGAGAGAATTCTAGTTCAACCAACGCACGTGATTTGTGATTAATTCTACACTTTCAACATTCGTATTAGAATTATGAGTTCAAAAAATATATGATTATGGTGAAAAATAGATCAAAATCTTAGATATCTGCAATCCACGTTATAGACTCTGCACTCATTGATCAAGCTTCAAACAATACATATGCAATTTATTTGGACTCATGACCATAAGACAAAGGAAAAGCAAAAGCTAATGGAAAAAATTATACAAACATTCCAAACGTTAGTAGATAAAAAAGGAGAGAAAAATTATAGCAATAAAATGCTTCTAATTCTCTCTCCTCTTCCCCTCCTCCTCATTATCCCTGCACTCTCTGTCTCAGATCCTCAAAGCTCCAGTCCCTTCTCATCCCACAGCTCCTCACCAATTTTGGTGCACCACTCTCAAACTCGACAGGTCCGCTGCTATGAATCCTATGAGTCGCCTTCTTGAACTTCTCGTAAGGCCGTGGTGGCGCCAAGTTTCCCGACCAGCTCCTCTCAACCCTCCCCAAACACAGGCTCAAATTTGGCTTCTCATGATCAAATATTCCCTCTCTGAGTTCCTTCTTTGAGTCGGTCCTTCGCATGCTCTGGCAGGTCAAGCAGTTGAGACTCATGGTGATGATGGAGAGAGAGTTTTACGTGACAAAGGGGTTAATGGCCGTTGGGCTGGTTGAGAGAAGAGGTCTGGAGGAAACCTGGAAAGAGAGAGAGAAGAGGGGGGGGGGGGGGGGTAGTTTGTCTGCATGCTATTTTAGGTGGACAAAGAAATGAAAGTAAAGATTGGGATTGGGATTTACAGATGTTTTTGGTGGTGAGAGAGATTGGTTTGGTGTAAATCTTCCATTTTTCTTGGAGAAACAAGCTCTCTGGTTAACAACAACCATTCCTTGGGGTTTCTGTTGGAGATTAGATCCGAAAATACAGCTGAGCCAATACTAATTTGGTAATAAGTTTGCTAAATTGATCTGGATTAGTGGGTTTAATTGGTTTTACTAATCATCTAATCTAATTACTATGGTTGTGACATGTTAATTGATATTTCTTAAAGGTGACAAAAGTTGCAAAATAAAGGTAGTTGAATGGGGTTTATTTTTCTGCACGGTGAAAGTGGTTATTGCTGGAAGGCTTTTGGTGAAAGAGGATTGTGGGACTTCATATAATCTAATGACTATGGTTGGGATGATTTCTATTACCACAGCAGATACTCACCTTTATATACAATAGCAATGCATGATTTGCGTTGCACGAAAACAATTATTTTGAGTACTTAATCTGTTATTTTTTTTTTAAAAAAATTATTTTGTTAAATAAATTGATTAGATCGCTTATAATATTATTAAATTATTGCATACTAATTTGACCGTAGAATTCAATCTTGTAATGACATGTGTATAATAATTTAATATATTTAGGACTTTACATCTTCATATAGATATATATAAAATTATACACTAATAAATGAATTCCAAAGAATTTAGAAATTCTTATAAAATAAATTAAAACAAATAAAAAGCTAAATAGGAGTAAAAAATAAAAATTAAATGAATGTATTTCTAATATGCCACAATGCGCCTCTTTCTTACTCGGGGTCAAATTTCTTATTTGTGTACTGAGTTTAAGAGATGACGATGCAATTTCAAATGTACAATTCAAAAGGATCAAAAAAAAAAACTCTGAATCAAAGAACTATATTTAGTTATATAACATCATAGCATCTCTGATTTGTTTTCAATCGAAAAATCAAGCTACGTGATCCAATTTTACTTGACTATGCCCGTGCTCGTCCAACGAGGGAATTTGCCAAGACACAGTTTGTGATGGAAATGTTTAACTATACATTTAATCTGCTTGCCATCTATGCATTTCACAGGCAGATGTGAATTGAAAGCTAAGACAGTCGTGAATTTTATGGATTCAATTCATCTGAAGTTACATTGCACCTGCCCTGTGTTTTAGTTTCTGCTTGCGCTCCTTCATGAACATAAGCACAGGAGCTCCAAACTAAAGAAAGGAAAAAAGTTTGGGGTGGACCCCAAAAACAAAAAAAAAGTTGTTAAAGACTAAAAGTTGATTGTTTTCATACTCATAATGGTGGGTTTGAGACTATTTTCAGCCAAATTTGTTTTCGTTATCATTTCGCCACCACCAGTTTCATCAACCTGTCACCCTTTTATATGATTAAAAAAACTTTTCCGTGTTGCACACTTATATCTCACAAGAAATGACAAATTAGAGATTATGAAAGTGCATGAATAAAAGATATAGATGGATTCAAACAGATTACAATGTCTTTATCCCATGAACATAACTTGAAATTTGTTGATCGAATTATACTATTCTCAATATTAGATGGTGCTCATGGAGTTCATTTCCAATACGATGACAACAATGATGGATTTTAGGACAATAATTTAGGTAAAATCACGAGGTTTAGATATTGCCTAAAATAAGGAATATTAGGTATAATATGGGAAATTATACGGAATTCATCAATTACAAAAAGGTTACTGCACTTTTGTGAAAAGAGGCAAAAAATGAAATTACCTAAGTGATGACTAGGTCATTTGGAAAAAGAGAGTTTCTGAACTTGATCTCCCAGTCTTTTCTTCCTGTAAAACGAGCAAACTGCTCAGGATCAAAGTGTTTCAATCGAAGGCACTCCGATGCTTAAGTCAGTAATGAAATTGAATGAATTGCAAATAGAACAAAAAGAATTCAGTGCACTTTTTACCTTGGCTCCTTTTGCTTTTTATAAACCCTGTTTAGTCAGGGTTTCCATAAATTTCGATTCAAGGTGGCACACCTTCCTCTAATTAAGCGATTCAGTTTGGAAAGTTGCTGAAATCTCTTTGGCAGTTCCTTTGGCCTATAATTAAGCTCATTAGCTTATCTTGAACGCCTAAATTTTTGACGAATCTTTATTTTTTTATTTACTATTTCAAAACGGCTCGGTCATAACGAGGACCGAGCTCTTTCGTTACTCACCGAACACCTTGAACAGCACGGTTTGGTAAAAGCCGAGTTCTTTCACTGCTAGCCAAACATATTAATCAGTTCGGCTAGACCTGTTTGACTGATATTATCCTCACATGCCTTGTCTTGTCATCCTCACATAGACTCATTTAATGTCATAACACGTGTAATAATGAGAGTCACCTACTTCAGAAAAGGTTACCACATTTTTGTGAAAAGAGGGAGCACTTACACAACTTTGGTTATCACATGTGAGCGTGCCACCAATCACGACTTGACCCGAGCAGGATGGGCTTGGGCCAAAAAAAAATTATCTTTTGAGCGGAAAAAAAATATATAATAATAAAGAATCTAGCATAAACTAAAGCTCTGCAACACAGGGCAGTGGTTGTGAAAAGCAAAGGCCATCAATCCCCAGTTAGAATAGTAGTTTTAAGGTGGTGGGGTAGAGGAAATAAAACAATTCCTAGTGGACAGTTGATTATATAAAGCAAATCTATCTAAATGAATTCCATCTAATTTGAGCAAAATAAGAAAGAACTTCTTTTAGCCCCTCTCAAGAATTACTACATTCTGGGATTCAAAAATTATACTTACATATGAAATTTAAAATGATCAACATGTTGGTACATTGTGAGAATAAGCATATTCTCTTGAGCAAGTAACTGTCTATTTGATGGAAGAGAAGGGTTGCCACAGAAGAATCGAGAAATCCGAGAATCAAACTCGGATCTTAAGACCTTTTATGAGACTCGAATGGCTAACCTCGATGATGAGAAGAGAATCAAGAGGCAGACAGCCCGGGCTAAGGTCATGGCGTTATTATTTGGTACTTTTTTTGTTTGCATATGCTGCAAGGTCATGGTCTAATTGAAGACATGAAGTACAGGATAATTGATCGTGGATTTCATATGGTCCAATTTTCACATAAACTCTCAGGAAAACCATGTGGGCTTTAATGTCTACCTCCAGAATTATGGATCTTGTCTCTCCATATTTGTTTAATCAGAAGTCTACTTCAAGAAACAATGTGTCTGATTAAAAAAAAAAAAAGATATGATAGCTTATGTTTAATGAATTTCGTTCTTCAAATGGTTTAAATCAATCAAGAACACTAATTGACAGACAATACAGGTACATAAAACATATGCAGATCATAGATACATAACAAGCAGCATATGATCTTCAGTTGACATGGCTAAGAACCCGATAAGTTCACCAGGTTCTATGCTTCTATACACGAGAGGTATACACGACTAGACACGAACTAGACAGAAGATCAACACGAAAAATAATATCAAAGCCGTGTTCACCTGGCTTTCAATCTAGATTGGCCTCAACCTCGGGGATATACTAAAAACTACTAAAGGACCGAGCAGGGAGGAAGTATTGTACAGAGTTTTAACTTCTGGGAGCCTCAAAATTTCCCAGTCTTAAAACACAATTGACAAAGCAATCTAGTCTTTGAAGCTTATTGTAAAGTGCAAGCCCCCTATCCCAATGCTTATCATGTTTCGGAAACTCTGGATGATAAGGCTATCTTAAGCTGTTCTTGCGTGTAAATCCGGCTCCCCATCTTCACCGTGGCTTGCTGAATCATCAATTCGTTCACTACAGAAACACTGGCATGGTGCACATCTAGGTCTAGCTCCTTAAGGGCTGTCATTAGCCTTGCTGCCGGGTGGTTCTTTTTACTACATTGGATTCGAATCATGGCGTCCCACCCAATTATCCTCACATCTATATCCACATCTACCCTATTGCTTCCATGATGATTCGACATTTTCAAATCCTGATCTGGTGGAGGTGGAGCTGAATACCGCGATTCTTTGCTAGACAATTCCTTCTTCAATGACTCCACTAGATTCCTCAAGTCATCTTTATCTGATTCCGTACTTTGAAGTTTCGATTTCAGCTCATTGATATGGGCAATAGCATCACCAAGAAGTGAAGCCTTGTCCATTTTCGACACGTTCGGAACCACAGCTCGGAGGGCATAGAACCTCTGATTAAGCTTCTCTCTCCTCTGCCTCTCTGCCTCAACATGATTCAATGGCTCTTCTCTCCCATTGGCAGGCTTCCTTCCCCTCTTTCTCGGTCGCTTTTCAGTGTCCACCACTCTACTACTATCAACCTCTTTCACCACCGAAGCCTCAAGATCGGACTGATCTGACTCTCCACCACCAACACCACCACTCGACTTCACGGTACCCGAAGAAGGCAAAATCACACCCGAAGTAAAGGAAAGCATACCCTCTTCATTACTCCCCTCGAGGTGGGAGATCTCTTCTTTTTGTTCTCCTCTGCAGCCCCAAATTGCAATTGACCCGAAAACAAATTTCCATTTCCATTACTTGAACTTCTCTTCCTCTCCCCAAAATTCAATATCTCCCCCGATTCGGGCTTGCACGAAAGTGAATTCACATTTCTAATGCTATTTCCATCAAACCCAGATTCAAAGAAATTCAATTCCCTGGTGAAAAACCCCTGTGCTTGGCTTTGGTGCTGTGGAGGGTGACTGTGAACATGAATTGAACTAGGAGTTTCAGTCAACGTACTCGAACTAGGATTTTCAAACACTGTTTGCTTGGACACTAACAGATTACTCGAAGGAATTGAATTCGCCGGAGCAGTATCAATAGACTCCTTAGCCGGCGGCGAAGGATCGGTAAGCCAAAGCGCCGACGGATCATTCTCGCCATGATCAGTCGGCAAAGCCCACGAGCCTGACCCTGAGCCAGATCCCGAGCCCATCTCTATACTCTTGTAATTGAACAAAACCCTAACCTTATTCATAAGATCCGAGCTCTGAAACTTCAATTCAGTTGAACCCAGCTCCACCACACCATTTGAGCATGGTATACAGACCAAGGTTTGTAAGCCAAACCCTTGAGCTTGACGGGCT